GAATAATATGTTTGTGATGTTACTCTGAGTGCATATCCACACCGGGCGAGCTTGAAAAATATGCCCGGCCACGGTGGGATTCGAACCTACGACCTTTGGAATACTAGCCCAATGCTCTTATTAGCAATCCTGCACTGGTGTTAAACGGTTGATGAACTACTTGAACTCTATGCGGAACTATGCCTTAGGCAAGTCATTGTGAGCTTCTGTATGCATGTAAACATATAGTGCTAGTTTGTTTACTGATTCAAGTTTAGGCCAAATAAAAAAAATACTTGGTTAGCGTCACACTCTCACAAATTTTCAGAGGCGGGCGGGCGGGGTTTTAAATTTTTACTCGTTTTTTAATTTTTTAATAGTATTTTTTGGGGGATGGGGACGGTTTTTCCACCATATCGGTGAAATTTTTTGACTGGTGTTGCGAAGGCCGCCATTTTGCTATATAAGAACCTTGTATACCCAAGCCCACGCGCTCCTATCGATCAGTATATAGCGCGAAGGTCTGAACATGAGAAAAATTTCAAATATTAAACTGTTTTAAGCTGTAAAACGAAAAGATTTACATAAAAAAAAATTCAGAGACAGAGGCGGCAGAAATCGAGAGGCGGGCGGTGACGCTAACCAAGTTTTTTTTATTTAGCCTTACGTGTTTGTTTTTTTTTAAATAAATTGACAGCGCCTATTTCCAAAAGTTGTTTTCTAGTTGTGGCTTGGTTTGTCTAAGATGCACATGCTTGTAGAGTTTAGAATCATCTTCAAGGGTATGGAACACATTTTATACTCTTTCGTAATCAGTATAGCTTCTAAAGTTGAAGGCTACATGTAATCAATGACTAATGCTAAGCAACTTTCAATTTGCCATATGAGAGTATTGCTTCGTCGCTTTTTGCTTACCTATAGCACAGATGTGCCTATACTGCTATAGCCTCGAATTCTATCACGCTAAGGATTTTCACGTCGTTCGTTTCTCTATTCGTTCTTTCTTCTGATGTTGCCATCTCAAGTAACTTCGTATATTGATCATTGGTTAACTCGATGTTCTCATAATTTAAGAACGCTTCCCATTCATCTTTACCTTGAAGCAACTCTAATTTTACATCATTTCGCAACAGATTCATTAACCCTTCTTTATTCGGGGCCAATGTATGACGGTAAAAGTTTGCAAATTTTATTGTCAAAGAAAAGTCAATGTTCTTGTTTTGCATCTTCTTTTTGAATTCGATCAAGGCGTGTGCGCAAACCGAACAGGGCGAGTAGTTTTGAACCAGTTTTGCTTCTATTTTTGTTACTTCATGGTGTTTTGAAATTTCAGTTTCAAGTTCGTCAAGGAAACGTTCCTCGGCATGCCGACCCATCGCGTTACTGCGAGCCCAGTTAAATGGATTTTCTTTTGTAGTTGAGGTAATTTTACCTATGCTCAACACTATCGTGGCACTTGGCCAAAGCCAGCCGTTTTCACCATACTGGTACTGAACGATGAAATTCTTCTCTATGGCTTCTTTCCATTGCATATTTACAAATAATCAGGCTTCACTTTCGATAGTGATATCTAGACTCCGTTTCGGCAAGCCCAACACGTATACATACATGCTAAGATAAGCGACGCCAGCAGGTGCACGTTAATTGATTTGAATACATTAATAATAAGTATGTTAAATGAATGAGTGATATTTTAGAATCGAAAACAGAGGAATGAAATTAAACTACGACACAATCTTCCGGCTCAATAAATGTTCTACTGGCTTAGAACCACGACATTTTTTGCGCCATACTTACAAATAATAATCGAGCATGGTTTAAACAGAAGAATTAAGGTTTTAATATAGTGTCTGTTTGTATAATAACTCGATCTTTGTTGAGCTATATTTAGCTGTATACGATTAATTCTTTATAAGGCAACATGCAATGCTAACGCTAAGCGGTGAGTTTTAATTTTACAATGAGAATATTGCTCTATTGCTTTTTGCTTACCTCAAGGTTTGGTTGTATTCCCAAGTCCTGCAATGTCGTTATTCCCAGGCAATACAAATGTTTAACAACATTGGACACGATCTGGATCATGGATTTGGGTCACTTTGTCAGCTTCTTGACATGTATTTCTTGCTTTTATGTTTATTTGGTTAAATATTTCAACTTGAATGAGAAATTATTTTATTAAAGGATTCTTCGGATCGGAATTCTTTAT